ATGAAAAAAATATATATTTAAAATTTTAATACAAACTAATATATTAATAAAAAATAATTAATAAAATATTATTAAAATACATATATAATGTTATATAAGATTAGTAATATTTTTTTTATTAACAAAAAAAATTTTATTAAAGAGGTGCAAAGAGTACCTCAAATATATATATAAAACTATTATGAAATAAAACTAAAATTTACCTCAAATATACTTAATTAACTTTTTAACAGGAAAAGAAGTGTATACATGTCTATTGGCATGTAATTGCCAAGAACACCTGAGAAAAGTTACATTCCACTAAGAGTTGTTCGCACTTCAAATGGATTATCTTGCAACTTAGTGGAGAACTAAGTTCATCTTGCCATTTCCTTCTTTGTCACCAAATGGTAAAAGAGGACAGGAAGTTGAGAGTTCATGAGAGCTGCAGAATGCTAGGGTTTGAAGAATTCAAGAGGGTTCCTAACTCTTCAATACAAATTTACCAATCTTGTGAAAAAGACCTGTAGCAAGACAAAGGAAGTAAAGTGATTTGCATGCTTTATGTACAAGGTAACAGTATCCATATTGATTCCTTGGATCAGGAAAGAAAAAATGATGTGCCACACTGGAGAAATCTCAATCATAACATCGAACACTTAAACAATTACCATTAAAGCCTTCAAAACAATAAATAGACCCTTCAAATGACTAATATTTATTGGACAGATTATAAAAAAAATTAAAAAAATAAAGTCCACAGAATTAAAAATAGAAATTAAAATCAGCAAATGAATGTAATTTTTCAATGCATTGAAAATATAAAACAATAAATAGTGGAATATATCAGATTAAAGATTGAAATGCAATAGACTATAAATAGACTATAAATAGACTACATAAAAAAATTCAATAATAAATATGAATATTTTGAATTTCGAATTTAATAAATAAATAACAAAAAAACTCATCACCTAATGGTCAATAGACCATTCAAATGACTAATATTTATTATACAGATTATAAAAAAAAATTGAAAAAATAAAGTCCACGAAATTAAAATTAGCAGATAAATGTAAGTTTCAATGCATTGGAAATATAAAACAATAAATAATGGAATATATCAGATTAAAAATTAGAATGCAATAGACTATAAATAGACTACATAAAAAAATTCAATAATAAATATGAATATTTTGAATTTCGAATTTAATAAATAAATAACAAAAAAACCCATTACCTAATGGTTAATAAACCCTTCAAATGACTAATATTTATTGGACAGATTATCAAAAAAAATTGAAAAAATAAAGTCCACAGAATTAGAAATAAAAATTAAAATCAGCAAATGAATGTAAATTTTCAATGCATTGGAAATATAAAACAATAAATAGTGGAATGCATCAGATTAAAGATTGGAATGCAATAGACTATAAATAGACGACATAAAAAAAATTCAATAATAAATAGGTTATATCCCCGATTCAGTCCCTGAACTTTTATTTTTGGACTAAAAATACCCTCGAACT